AACATTTTCGTCAAATCCTCTGCCTGTATGGTATTTGCACCACCAACAATACCTCCACCACCTAAGCCCGATGACAGACTACCGCCACTATTGTTCAAAGACGATACAACCGCTGCGGAAGTATTGGTGTTATTACAATTTTGTAGAGCCGCCATAACGGCGGCATTGGTTGCTGCACTACTATTTCCCTGAACACCAGCGGTGCTCACTAATGCGGTATTTGTTGTTCGTTTCAATTCATCAATGGTGTTGGTGGTAATGGCACAACCATTTGATGGATTGTTTGAATCTGGCGGCGTGTGTATTTGTACACTGCCGCATTCATCGTTGGAGGATGTCTCGAACAATTGTCTAAATCATTGGGGAAGGATTTAAGCCCTCTACGGTAAAGAGATTGCCACCTATGCCACTCTTCGAGTTTACACGGCGACGTAGATGAAGTACCCATGCCAGACATCATTTCGGTTTTTATATCAAGTTCTTCAAAGAAATTTCCCGATGCAGAGGCACTAACACCTCCTCCCATCATACCACTGCCACCAATACCAGCACTCATCGAACTGTCATTATTTTGCAATCAATTTGATTGTTTCCCAATGACGCCGAATTGCCACCAGCTGCTATTCCCACCAAACCTGTACCCATATTGACGTTTGGATCAAGATTTCCCGAATTACAGGCCATTGCTGCCGTAGGATCTATAGATAGCAGTTGCGGTCCGTAAACTGAACGAGGCGAAGGCATTCGAGGTTTTGTGTGCGTATGACCTTCATAGAGCTTTTTTGTGCACATTACTCGGCATTGTTTTGAGATTTCGTTGGGTTTAAAACGTTTAACAGGATGATTGGCCCTAAAAGAAGTTAAATTTTCAATTAATTTAAAAAAAACAAGTGCCCATGTGTTCTTAAGAAACGAATTCGGATTATTTTTCGGATAATAGATATTTCCTGTATATGGAATCTTATTGAATTATGCACCCATCGTGTTAAATTTGGAATAATAGATCAGTTCTAGTTCAATTCTAGTTCAGTTATTGTTCAGTTCAGTTCTATTTCAGTTCTAGTTCAGTTCTAGTTCTCTGTTCAGTTCTAGTTCAGTTCTAGTTCAGTTCTAGTTCAGTTCTAGTTCAGTTCTAGTTCAGTTCTAGTTCAGTTCTAGTTCAGTTCTAGTTCAGTTCTAGTTCAGTTCTAGTTCAGTTCTGGTTCAGTTCTAGTTCAGTTCCAGTTCAGTTCTAGTTCAGTTCTAGTTCAGTTCTTGTTCAGTTCAGTTCTAGTTCAGTTCTAGTTCAGTTCTAGTTCAGTTCTAGTTCAGTTCTAATTCAGTCCTAGTTCAGTTCTAGTTCAGTTCTAGTTCTAGTTCAGTTCTAGTTCAGTTCTAGTTCTAGTTCAGTTCTAGTTCAGTTCTAGTTCTAGTTCAGTTCTAGTTCTAGTTCAGTTCTAGTTCTAGTTCAGTTCTAGTTCAGTTCTAGTTCAGTTCTAGTTCAGTTCTAGTTCAGTTCTAGTTCAGTTCTAGTTCAGTTCTAGTTCAGTTCTAGTTCAGTTCTAGTACAGTTCTAGTTCAGTTCTAGTTCAGTTCTAGTTCAGTTCTAGTTCAGTTCTAGTTCAGTTCTAGTTCAGTTCTAGTTCAGTTCTAGTTCAGTTCTAGTTCAGTTCTAGTTCAGTTCTAGTTCAGTTCTAGTTCAGTTCTAGTTCAGTTCTGGTTCAGTTCTAGTTCAGTTCCAGTTCAGTTCTAGTTCAGTTCTAGTTCAGTTCTTGTTCAGTTCAGTTCTAGTTCAGTTCTAGTTCAGTTCTAGTTCAGTTCTAGTTCAGTTCTAATTCAGTCCTAGTTCAGTTCTAGTTCAGTTCTAGTTCTAGTTCAGTTCTAGTTCAGTTCTAGTTCTAGTTCAGTTCTAGTTCAGTTCTAGTTCTAGTTCAGTTCTAGTTCTAGTTCAGTTCTAGTTCTAGTTCAGTTCTAGTTCAGTTCTAGTTCAGTTCTAGTTCAGTTCTAGTTCAGTTCTAGTTCAGTTCTAGTTCAGTTCTAGTTCAGTTCTAGTTCAGTTCTAGTTCAGTTCTAGTCAGTTCTAGTTCAGTTCTAGTTCAGTTCTAGTTCAGTTCTAGTTCAGTTCTAGTTCAGTTCTAGTTCAGTTCTAGTTCAGTTCTAGTTCAGTTCTAGTTCAGTTCTAGTTCAGTTCTAGTTCAGTTCTAGTTCAGTTCTAGTTCAGTTCTAGTTCAGTTCTAGTTCAGTTCTAGTTCAGTTCTAGTTCAGTTCTAGTTCAGTTCTAGTTCAGTTCTAGTTCAGTTCTAGTTCAGTTCTAGTTCAGTTCTAATTCAGTTCTAGTTCAGTTCTAGTTCAGTTCTAGTTCAGTTCTAGTTCAGTTCTAGTTCAGTTCTAGTTCAGTTCTAGTTCAGTTCTAGTTCAGTTCTAGTTCAGTTCTAGTTCAGTTCTAGTTCAGTTCTAGTTCAGTTCTAGTTCAGTTCTAGTTCAGTTCTAGTTCAGTTCTAGTTCAGTTCTAGTTCAGTTCTAGTTCAGTTCTAGTTCAGTTCTAGTTCAGTTCTAGTTCAGTTCTAGTTCAGTTCTAGTTCAGTTCTAGTTCAGTTCTAGTTCAGTTCTAGTTCAGTTCTAGTTCAGTTCTAGTTCAGTTCTAGTTCAGTTCTAGTTCAGTTCTAGTTCAGTTAGTTCTAGTTCAGTTCTAGTTCAGTTCTAGTTCAGTTCTAGTTCAGTTCTAGTTCAGTTCTAGTTCAGTTCTAGTTCAGTTCTAGTTCAGTTCTAGTTCAGTTCTAGTTCAGTTCTAGTTCAGTTCTAGTTCAGTTCTAGTTCAGTTCTAGTTCAGTTCTAGTTTTAGTTAAGTTCCAGTTCTATCACAATTCAAGTTAATCATAATTTCAATTAAACTGTTGATTTAATTTAAATACAAACTTATTTCTCTTCAATTGTATGTAAACTGTTTAATTTAAATCAATAACATTAATCTAAGAACCCAAGATGATATTAACTAAATGCTCCATAGAAAATATCCCTTTAAAAGTTCTATATACCTTTATTCAGTTCGAAAAAAATTAAAAACTTACCAAGCATCTTGTACACTAAAATCATAGAGTACATCTAACTTGAGGCAATCTTCATTAGCAACCGTATCAATATCTTTAACATTGATTTTTGGCGGTTTATATAAATTCAAAAAATTTTGCATTGCATTTGTGGCTGAAGACAGTGGGGGATTCATTTCTATTCACGTTATTATTGGGGTAAACCGAACTGTTCATGATGCAGTTGGGATTACTGATATTGTTGTTGTTGGCTGTAGACTCTAGTTTAATATCAATTGAATTGTTAATTGGGCAATTGCTGCTAGTTGTGTTTCCTGACATATGCATATTGGCATTGTTAAGGGTTGTAGTTAAAGATGCAGGTTGTAAATCAAATTTCTTAACAGATATGGAACCACACTGCTGCTGTTGTTGTTGTGTTGTTGCTGCTGTTGTTGTTGAGGAGTAGGTGTACAACGACCAACACTTGAGGGAGGAGGCACACTGCCGGGACCAATATTACCACCAACACCACCGCCAATAGTATTATGCATTCCTTCCACTGATGGAGGAGGCTCTACACTTGGAGTAGGATGAACGTAAGGTGACGCTGTTATACTTTTATTATCATGTTGATCTGTGGGAGTAGGAGCTGGAGTATTTTTATCCAATAAATGATCTATTGGTGTGGGGTTGTTGCAATTCGATACTGATGTGGGAGCACGTGGACTCATTGATAAAAGCTGTAAAGTGAAATAAATAATAAACATTTTTTTTATTATTAAATTATCTATTTCGTAGGAAAATGAAAAAAATAATATCTACACTTACTTGATCGGCTGGTGGTACTGATGTTGGCTGAGATAATGCTGAATTTGGATGGGGTGATGCAGCGGGTGTACCTGGTGAACCACTGATGGTATTGGCATACAATCAATTAATGAATTGCGGGAATAACTGATATACCACCTTGTAATGGTGTACCATGACCAGGTGTTTGCCCAGAAGACGGTGTTGTGATGAAGTCAATGACCTGTAAATTATATTAATTTATTTGTATTTTTTAATATTTAGTTTTCAATATTTGGAAAATATTTTATTTATTTTACCTTTATAAATTTTTCATAAATTTAGTTAAACATTTTTAATATTCTTACTAAATAATAATAATTAAAATGCTCTAACTACCAAAATGAACAATACTTTTTTTACAATTTACCGCATCCATTATAAAAATTAAAAAAAGCATACAAAAAGAAAATTACATAGATATCTATATAAAATAGATATAAATCATGCATTAGTGCCATAACCGTTTTAGTAAATTCTATAAAAAATGAACATTTTAAGCTTGTTTTAAGACCTTTACTTTTTTACAGTTTTCAATTATTATAATGTTTTATTTGATTTCTTTAAGCTGTTTTATTAATTTTATAAATAGATAATTTAATAATGTTCAATTTAAGAAATTTGTTGATTAAACTTGGCATCCTCAAGTCCAAGTTAGAAGAAATTTTTTGTGTTTAAGAAAAATTATAACCTATTTTATACAGTATTGTTCGAAACCAAACCTAGTTCTAGTAGTTATTATTTCCTTTCAATTGATAACTTTATAATGTTTACATTATCATTTTCATTTGTTAGTTAAGATCAAGTTCAGTTCTAGTTCAAGTTCTGTTCTAGTTCAGTTGTAGTTCAGTTGTAGTTCAGTTCTAGTTCAGTTGTAGTTCCCAAGGTTCTAGTTCAGTTTAGTTCAGTTCTAGTTACAGTTCTAGTTCAGTCTAGTTCAGTTCTAGTTCAGTTCTAGTTCAGTTCTAGTTCAGTTCTAGTTCAGTTCTAGTTCAGTTCTAGGTTTCAGTTCTAGTTCAGTTCTAGTTCAGTTCTCGGTTCAGTTCTAGTTCAGTTCTAGTTCAGTTCTAGTTCAGTTCTAGTTCAGTTCTAGTCAATTCTAGTTCAATTCTAGTTCAGTTCTAGTTCAGTTTAGTTCTAGTTCTAGTTCAGTTCTAGTTCAGTTCTAGTTCAGTTTCTAGGTTCAGTTGCTAGGTTTCAGTTCTAGTTCCAGTTCTAGTTCAGTTCTAGTGCAGTTCTAGTTCAGTCTAGTTCAGTAGTTCAGTCTAGTTCAGTTCTAGTCAGTTCTAGTTCAGTTCTAGTCAGTTCTAGTCAGTTCTAGTTCAGTTCTAGTTCAGTTCTAGTTGCAGTTCTCGTAGTTCAGTTCTATTTCGTTCTAGTTCAGTTCTAGTTCAGTTCTAGTTCAGTTCATAGTCAGTAGTTCGTTCTAGTTCAGTTTCTAGTTCAGTTCTAGTTCAGTTCTAGTTCAGTTGTCTAGTTCAGTTCTAGTTCAGTTCTAGTCGTAGTTCAGTTCTAGTTCAGTTCTAGTTGCAGTTCTAGTTCAGTGTCTAGTTCATGTAGGTTCTAGTTCAGTTCTAGTTCAGTTCTAGTTCAATTCTAGTTCAGTTCCTAGTTCAGTTCTAGTTCAGTTCTAGTTCGTTCTATTTCAGTTCTAGTTCAGTTCTAGTCATTCTAGTTCAGTTCTAGTTCCAGTTCTAGTTCAGTTCTAGTTCAGTTCTAGTTCAGTTCTAGTTCAGTTCTAGTTCAGTTCTATTTCAGTTCTAGTTCAGTTCTAGTTCAGTTCTAGTTCAGTTCTAGTTCAGTTCTAGTTCAGTTCTAGTTCAGTTCTAGTTCAGTTCTAGTTCAGTTCTAGTTCAGTTCTAGTTCAGTTCTAGTTCAGTTCTAGTTCAGTTCTAGTTCAGTTCTAGTTCAGTTCTAGTTCAGTTCTAGTTCAGTTCTAGTTCAATTCTAGTTCAATTCTAGTTCAGTTCTAGTTCAGTTCTAGTTCAGTTCTAGTTCAGTTCTAGTTCAGTTCTAGTTCAGTTCTAGTTCAGTTCTAGTTCAGTTCTAGTTCAGTTCTAGTTCAGTTCTAGTTCAGTTCTAGTTCAGTTCTAGTTCAGTTCTAGTTCAGTTCTAGTTCAGTTCTAGTTCAGTTCTAGTTCAGTTCTAGTTCAGTTCTAGTTCAGTTCTAGTTCAGTTCTAGTTCAGTTCTAGTTCAGTTCTAGTTCAGTTCTAGTTCAGTTCTAGTTCAGTTCTAGTTCAGTTCTAGTTCAGTTCTAGTTCAGTACTAGTTCAGTTCTAGTTCAGTTCTAGTTCAGTTCTAGTTCAGTTCTAGTTCAGTTCTAGTTCAGTTCTAGTTCAGTTCTAGTTCAGTTCTAGTTCAGTTCTAGTTCAGTACTGAACTATAGTTCAGTTCTAGTTCAGTTATATAGGTTTCACAATGGACTTCATACTGTTAAAGAATATGTAATTTGGTAAATTATGAACAGGATAGAATTCGTCTCTCCAATTCATATTCACATTTAGTTTCAATAATCTATGAATTCTGTAGTTTCCTATTTTATTTAATTCTTCAAAATTACCAAATTTTTAAAAATTGTTTATAATATTGCTAAAAAGTATTTAAACTTAACTGAGCCAAAAAAGCATGCAAACAATACTATGTTCCTTTAATGCAATTTGTTAACCATATACCGTTAAATATTTAAAATAAATATAAATGTACAATATAGGAAAGCCTTAAAAGCTTAAAATCAAAGTTAAAATTTAACAAATGTTTATAAAACATTTAATAAATTAAAATTTGATTCTTATAAAGCTAATTTAATATTAAATATAAATATTTTTGCTTAACAGCCCAAAGAATTTATGATTATTTGTCATTCTAGTACTTTTTTACATTTATAAACTATACACTAAGAAACTTCCAATCCCATACCATGAAAAACTAAGAGCAAATACCAATATTCCATCTAATATTGAGAGAAAGATGTTTATACAATAGAAAAAGTAAAGAAGAATCTGAATAATCTACAATTTTTTTTTTATATGTAAACGATTCAACGATCAATAATGTTTAGCTTTTTGGTGTAGTGGTGGTGAGATTATTATAATGTTTTATACTAGTTTTTATTTGCTGTTTGGCGATAACTGGCGATATTTTGTTGTGAATATAATTTGTTGTAATGACTTTTTTGTGGTGGAATTATACACATGTTGTTGATGTTTTCAAGACCCATTAACTCAGTTTAGTAAATAAATTTAAATTTACATGATTGCAGCAACCATTTTACATTTTATAAATTATACAATCAAAGGTGAAATTAGTTGAACTGAAAAATGTATTTAAGGAGAGCGGGGGTTTGTTTTAATATACAATATGGTGAAAAAAGTACACAGCGAATTGATTGATTGAATGATATTTCAATTGACTGACTGATGCGACTGATTTGATTTGATCAGAACACATGTCGAGAAATATCTATATAGTAGAGAAGTTTAAATAAGACAACACAAACCTTTGTTTTGGTATAGTGTCTGAAGAGCAAGAAGAACTTTGATAAAATGATGCTGTATAACAAGCGGCAGGATTATTGGATTTATTTGAAGAAATGGTCGTGCTGTTGGTGGTTGCAGTAGTATTATTACTGGTAGTGAATTGAGAGGAGAAAGAATTCTTAGAATTTGTACTACTATTATTATTATTATTTTGGCTGGTGCTTGTTGTTATTATAGATGTATTTGAAAAGCGAATAGAAGTGCTGCATTGTTGCTGTTGTGACCCGTCAATATTGTCTACAACATCGCAGCTATCATGAACAGTAATATCCAAATGTCGTTTATGAAATGGTATTCTTTGTATACGTAATGAGTTGGTTTTCATGTTATCGCCCTGCTGTTGTTGGCTTAAGGGTGTAGAAGGTCTTGTATGATGACTAACGGCTCCTGCAGAATTACTACCACTGAATTGGTGTTGTTGTTGTGTATGATTGAGATGCAGAGTAGACGAACCAAATGTATGAGTTTTATTTAAAGCCATTGCCATGGAACTACTGCCTAAACGCATAGCTACCGCCGCTGCCATAGAAGACGTTGAAGAAGGACTCAAACACGACAAGCCAACGCTAGTTGTTGGTGTGACACCCATATTACCACTTGCGGCAATGTTTACCGATGTTGAGGAGGACGCAGTAACTGCTGTTGTTAATGTTGATTTTGAGCTAAATTGAAAACTAAAAATTGTTTTGTATTTGTTTTCATTGTTTTGTTGTTGATTTTTTTTTTTTAACACCAAAGAATTTAATATACATTTTATTTCTTGTTTCTATTACATAATTTTATAAAAATTATTTTTTGGTTTAAGTATTTTAACACAACTTAAAAAAAAAAAACATATGGTGAGTTAAATAATTTAGCATCTAAAGCATTTAGAGCATTTTAATTTATATGACAACTGTTCGGTTTTTAAGTATTTAAACTACTGAATAAAATTTTAACAAAAAGACAACTGTGACATGCATTTAGAATTTTAACTAAAAACAAACATAGAATCAGCTTTATTTGAACTTGTTTGTATGTTTTTGCATGCCTTAAACAAAAATGTGAATAAGTGTATTCATATTATCAATTAAATTAACACTGAAGGAAAGCTACAGATTTGCAAAAAAAAAATAGACGAAAAAATAGATATTGAGACTTAAATATTTGGGTGAAAATAAACTTAACCACATATGGTTATTACAATACTTTTTTTCATTTACACCTCCCAGCATACTTCATTGCTTTAGGAAAACTATGAACGGAATTTTAAAAATAGGAACATACTGGTTTCTATTATCTACTTCAAAACTTTTAATATTGTACTTAAGTTCTAGTTCAATTCTAGTTCAGTTCTAGTTCAGTTCTAGTTCAGTTCTAGTTCAGTTCTAGTTCTGTTCTAGTTCTGTTCTAGTTCAGTTCTAGTTCAGTTCTAGTTCAGTTCTAGTTCAGTTCTAGTTCAGTTCTAGTTCAGTTTACTTCAGTTCTAGTTCAGTTCTAGTTCAGTTCTAGTTCAGTTCTAGTTCAGTTCTAGTTCAGTTCTAGTTCAGTTCTAGTTCAGTTCTAGTTCAGTTCTAGTTCAGTTCTAGTTCAGTTCTAGTTCAGTTCTAGTTCAGTTCTAGTTCAGTTCTAGTTCAGTTCTAGTTCAGTTCTAGTTCAGTTCTAGTTCAGTTCTAGTTCAGTTCTAGTTCAGTTCTAGTTCAGTTCTAGTTCAGTTCTAGTTCAGTTCTAGTTCAGTTCTAGTTCAGTTCTAGTTCAGTTCTAGTTCAGTTCTAGTTCAGTTCTAGTTCAGTTCTAGTTCAGTTCTAGTTCAGTTCTAGTAGTCTAGTTCAGTTCTAGTTCAGTTCTAGTTCAGTTCTAGTAGTCAGTTCTAGTTCAGTTCTAGTTCAGTTCTAGTTCAGTTCTAGTTCAGTTCTAGTTCAGTTCTAGTTCAGTTCTAGTTCAGTTCTAGTTCAGTTCTAGTTCAGTTCTAGTTCAGTTCAGTTCTAGTTCAGTTCTAGTTCAGTTCTAGTTCAGTTCTAATTCAGTTCAAATTCAGTTCTAATTCAGTTCGAATTCAGTTCTAATTCAGTTCTATTTCATTTCTAATTCAGTTCTAATTCAGTTCTAGTTCAGTTCAGTTCTAGTTCAGTTCTAGTTCAGTTCTAGTTCAGTTCTAGTTCAGTTCTAGTTCAGTTCTAGTTCAGTTCTAGTTCAGTTCTAGTTCAGTTCTAGTTCAGTTCTAGTTCAGTTCTAGTTCAGTTCTAGTTCAGTTCTAGTCAGTTCTAGTTCAGTTCTAGTTCAGTTCTAGTTCAGTTCTAGTTCAGTTCTAGTTCAGTTCTAGTTCAGTTCTAGTTCAGTTCTAGTTCAGTTCTAGTTCAGTTCTAGTTCAGTTCTAGTTCAGTTCTAGTTCAGTTCTAGTTCAGTTCTAGTTCAGTTCTAGTTCAGTTCTAGTTCAGTTCTAGTTCAGTTCTAGTTCAGTTCTAGTTCAGTTCTAGTTCAGTTCTAGTTCAGTTCTAGTTCAGTTCTAGTTCAGTTCTAGTTCAGTTCTAGTTCAGTTCTAGTTCAGTTCTAGTTCAGTTCTAATTCAGTTCTAATTCAGTTCTAATTCAGTTCTAATTCAGTTCTAATTCAGTTCTAATTCAGTTCTAATTCAGTTCAGTTGAAGTTCAGGTCTACTTTAGTTCCAGTTCAGTTAAGAGTTAATTTATAGTTCAGTTATTGTAGACTGTAGACTAGACTACTGCCTACTTTTCAATTGAAGTTCAGTTCTACTTCAGTTCCTGTTCAGTTAGAATTCATTTATAGTTCAGTTATTGTAGGCTAAAATCTAATTATTAGAAAACATTCAAATTTGAACAAAAAGTGTCTCAAGTATTAATGTTTCGACTAAACACAACTTCTATTGCAGAAATCTTTAAACAAAAACGTCTTTACAGATATTTTTTTTTTAATTAAAAAGGAAATAAAAAGTAAATTATTAAAAACAATGAAATTTTACTTACTTTGTGCATATACATGGAGCTTTTTGTGTAGGATCCACAAAACCCCATATCTGTTGATGTTGTTGCTTTTGAGATAAAGTTGTAGTATTTGGTTTAATGTCAACACTATTTGAAACATTATCCGTTTGATCCATTCCTTCGCTTGACGTAGCATTATCATTATTATTACTATTAATGCCCGAAGATGACATTGACGTCGTAGTTGTTGCGGCTGATGTTGTTGACGTATTGGAGGAAGTTGTGTTAGAGGTGGATGAGTTGTTGGTGTTAGCGGATAATGAAGTTGAAGAGGAGGAGGTGGACAGAATTGTGCCATTTAAACTATGTTGGACATGCAAAACATTTGTGACGCAATCTTGCCAAGCTCTTTCAGGCATTTCACATGCTGCCTGTGGCGGGGCATGAATATTTGTCGTATTGCAGGTGAAATTACGTGTTTGTGTATCATAATACGGTTGAACTTTACTGCGATCTATTTTTAAACGTTCAACCATATGAGCTAAAGATGACTTTGTTCCATTTATGGTTGGTAGTTTATTATTGGAAAAATTTTCCATTAGAGGTTTTCTAGAGTCATTGTAATTGTGGTTATTGTGGGTGCTAACACCACCACCAGACGTTGTTTGATTAGCTGATGAAAGTGCTGCCAAAGCAGCAGCTTCCGCTGATGAAGACGTTCCGAGAGGACACTTCTGAGAGGCAGCTGCTTCCATTTCTTCCATATCATCCAAATCAGTGACTAGTACATAAATTGACGGATGATACATTTTATGACCGCCTAAATTGAAAACAAAATTATATTTTATTAAATTGATTTTAAGAAAAAAAGATTAAAAATTAAAAGAACATACCAGCTATAACTTCTACAACTGGTGGCACATCACTGTTCTCTTTATTGCACAATGGGAAAAATGAAGCCCAGTCATCAAGTATTTTCTCAGCCATTGGATCATTTGTTTTATAACTGTTGCCCGTTAGAGTGGCTGCCATACCAAATGGTGCCAATATTACTTTACGAGGTTTTGGATTAACGCTATTGCTGTTGTTGTTATTGTTGCTGCTGCTATTGTTGTTACTATTATTGTTGCTGGTATTATTATTATTATTGTTATTATTAGATGATGCATTTTCATTTTTAATACCCTCGGCTGCATGAGCAGCTGCAGCATTGGGTGAATTTGGTGATGTTTGTTGTTCAGGTGAATTTGCATTTGAGGCCGCGGCTGCAAATGCAGCGGCAGCTTCAGTTAAATGTTCTTTGGTTAATGGACGCACTGCTGGATGTTCTCTCAAATCAATAGATGCACATACAGTATCTCCATGTACAAAGAATGTAAATGAGAATGATAAATGTTGAGAGCTGCAAAAAGTAATAAAACAAATAGAAAATAAATTTAAAATTGTTATTTTTTAATTTTTTATACATAAATTAATAAATTTACATACAAATAAGTATTGTTTCAAGCAAACGATGAATAAATTTAAAACTTCATAATTTACTCACAGAGACCTTGTTGTTTAATCTAGGATTTATTATTTAAACTCAGTTTATTTATATTTTAATAATTGAGTTGATTTTCAAATAAAAATCCATTTATTTCAATTATAAAACTAATGAATTCTTTCTTTTCTTTTTAGTTGAACAGAATTTGTTACAAGTTGAACGATGAATAAATTTATAACTTCACAATATATTCACAGAGAACCTGTTGTTTAATCTAGGATTTATTATTTAAACTCAGATTATTTATATTTTAATAATTGAGTTGATTCACACACATAAAATCCACTTTTGGAAATTATAAAACTAACTGATTGAAACTGTTACAAGTTGAACGATGAATAAATTTATAACTTCACAATTTATTCACAGAGAACTTGTAGTTTAATCTAGGATTAATTATTTATACTCAGTTAATTTAATAAACTTTTATAACTGAATTGATTTGAATTGATGAAGATCATAATCCTATAATTTGTAGATTAGGCTCTCAACTTAAGTCAAGGCTGGACTATAGACTGGACAATAGACTAAATTACAATAAAGTCATGGTCAAATTTATGTCATTTTTTAATCCTTTCACAAACTTAGATAGACATTCTATTCAAATTCTCTTATTTTCTATTAAATAACTACTAACCTTCTTCCAAATATTCGTTCATTTGAAGTACAGGGTTGAACAAACCATTTGCCAAAACGTACAATATCTTTTGTAAGCACAAATCTGTAAGAATATTGAAATCATATTTTTGAAATAGATATTTTCAATTATAGGTATTTTGTTTTTTTGCATATTGTACCTTTCGATAAGATTATGAAGTGCCTTAAAAAGTAATGAACGACATTCATAAGTTAGACCACGTTCCCATGTGCCATTCCACATCATTTGATTGCCTGAAAAAATAGAAAATAATGGTTTGTTAAAGAAACTGTAATGATGTTTATATATAATTACATAGGTATGTTATTTATAAATTTATTGCCCAGATGTATGTGCATTGTACATACAAACTTCAAAATTCAGATGGCCAGTTGTACATACTTTTACATTTAGGGCCAATCTTTAGGTGAAAGATTAGCGATTAAATGTTTTTGAGTACTCAATTAGTTAATTTTGTTTGCAAGTTTAAGCGCCCAATGGAGGTGCACGAAATGCAAAAGTGTAAACAGCTGATGCAAAAAAATTAATAAAATTTTTATAAATATAAACATTAAAATCTTCTATTTATTGATTAGTATAAATTATGGACACTTCAAAATACATTTTTTTGTTTTTAATTTAAGTTTTCATTAATTTTCATATTAAATTTACAATTGTCTTCTTCTTTTTTATAAAATATGCATTGTTTTGATAACAAACAGTGAAGTTTTCTGTTGTTTTGTATGGCAACACTGCGAAGTTTAATCTTGTACTCAAAAACATCACAGGGGATTAACATAAGATTAAATTTATTTTTAGATTAACTAATCTGATTATTAATTGGCATTTGATTACCATCTCAAAAACCCGCTCTTAAAGTTGAACTCAAAATTTCATTAAAGTATACCTATTCATAAAGTGACTATTAATACCTACACTTTGTAAGTAATAAACATCTTTTTCTTCTTTGGAATTTCTGTGCTATGACGTGGTGTATTTTCCAAATTAAAAAAAAAAAATATTTTACAAAAATTCCTTAAATCATCTGAGTTATAAACAATCACAAAATACGAATCATGAAATGAAGATAACTATAAAAAGACACTATTTTTTCTCTCACACTCTCTTAAAAACAAATTAATAAATAAATTAATGACGTTAATTGTTAATGTGGGATAAAATTGTGTACTGTTTACACTTAAAAACAACAACAATGAAAAACAAGCGTAAAAATAATGACGTTATAATAAATCAGCAAACATAAAAATAAACTCAAAATTATAATAATAACATTTATTTGCATGTACATACGTATTTTATTTATTCTTTTTAATTTGTTACTGTATTTGAATTCTACCGATTAAATATAAGAGAAAGAGCGACAGAGGGAGAAGTGAAACGTTGTTATTATTTTTGTAAACACTCAAAAACAAAAACAAGTTTTTTTTGTATTCTGGTAACACTGTTCGAGAGAGTTCATTTGGCAAAGTAGGTGTTTATTAAAGAAAACAAAAATAATTAATGTTGTTTTTATTACTATTAATGTTTTTGTTTTGAAAAAATATTTATTTAAAAGAAATGTTTAAAAACACACATACACACATTGTATATACCTACATATTTATGAATTTAAGAACAAAAACAATAACTCTAAATAAATGAGAAATGAGTACAATATAGGTACAATGAAGTCAGAAAACGTCATATGAATGGGGAAGTATTAAATGGGGGTAAGAGCAAGAATGTTAACAACTTACTAGTTCAACAAATAACAAAAACAACAAAATATCACTTAGGTACCTACCTATTACTTTTTAATTAATATATAAAAGACAAGAAGATTATGTATAAAACAAAATAATAAAAAATACCCATTAAATAGCAACAAATTAATGTAGGGAGGGGAGAAAAAGCTATCATAACAAAATAAGAAAAATAATAAAAAAAACATGAATGATTTACAACAAGGTCACTCACAACAGAGAGAACGAAAACTAAAAAATGAGGAACAACAACAAATACCAAATATGTGGGGAATTACACAAACAATACATAAAAAAGAGCAAAAAAAGAACTATTAAAACTTAATTAACTGTTTTTCAAAAACTACCGTTAGAAATCTACTTTAAATAATAAACACAATAGGTAGGTATGTAGTTGTATTCAAAAGATACAAACAACGAAACATTAAATAAATGTAGGTAAAACGAGAAATGAATAATTATGTACAGTGTCTCTCATAAGTATTTGAATTTAGGTAAGCTATGAAAAGAAACCAAATTTAATAATATATTTGGTGTGGAAAATAAATAAATTAATTTGTTATATTGTCTAGATAGTCCTTATGTTTGATATCACGCTTTTTAAAACTTGAAAAATTTGCATTGACTTAAATTAATTGTGCTTTTTTAAAAAAAGTCCATGAAATTGCCTCACAAAAGTATGCGAATTTTTCCTGTATTTCATATTTGATCATATTATACGATACACAAATTTTAGAATCGCATGGTTTTATGCTTAATATTGTTTTAAGGGGTTACTATCAACCGCATGGATATATTTTTGACTCATTTGGTCCACAATTTTGGGGGATTTGTACCCTCTTTTCATGTAATATCATTAAAATGGCGATTTTTGGCTATATTTGTAATGTTTTCACCCTTTTTCCAGAGATAAAACCAAAATTTAATATTGGAATGTAATAGAACCCATAGGGTATCTAAAAATAATATTTTTTGTTATAACGATCTGTACTTAATCGTTCCAAGATGTATTTTTGGTATCGTTTTTCAGTTTCTAATTGAATTATCTGGATCATAAGTCTCTTTTCGTACCTCTAGGGACGATATTTTCCGACAAAGTTGTCTAGTGTATATTCATGTACATATTGGCACTAATGTATTTTAAATTTTCAATATATTATAGCGGTATACAACCCTAAATCATGCCTTAACAAAACGTCATCCTATATAGTAGGTTTCAGTTTTTACTACTCGTAACTTTCACGCTTATGTTGCCCGTTACAATAACACTGTAAGTCCTAAATTTTGGTTTTAATTTGATCATAGTAAATAATATTTAAACACATATCAACATTTTTGATGTGATCATAATGATATCGTGCCATGCAGCATGGAGGCCATTGGTATATAAAAATAATGATTTTACTATTTTGAATGGTGCTTCTTCGAGGCATGTTTTGGAGTTGTACACTTCCACAACACATTGAAAACTTAAAATGTATAAAAGCTGATATCTAAAAGATATATACCAGAAAACTTTCCCCGAAAATAGTTGATCCTAGTATTATAAAAATGGACTTAAGTTCCAATATATTGAATTAGCGACAGAAGAATGATCCGAATAATTTATCTTGGAACGTTTAAATACAGATTCTTGTAACAAAAAGTATTATTTTTAAATACCCCAAGGGGTCTTTTAAGTCCCAATATCAAATTTTTGTTTTATCTCTGGAAAAAAGGATACAAATTTACAATTATGGCCAAAAATCGCCATTTTAATGATATTACATGAAAAGAGGGTACAAATTCCCCAAAATTGTGGACCAAATGGGCCAAAAATATACCCTTTCCGTGGATAGTAACCCCTTAAAACAATATTACGCATAAAAACCATTCGATTCTAAAATTTGTGTTGCGTTTAATATGATCAAATATGAAATACAGGAAAAATTCGTATACTTTTGTGAGGCAATTTCATGGACTTTTTTTAAAAAAGCACAATTAATTTAAGTCAATGCAAATTTTTCAAGTTTTAAAAAGCGTGATATCAAACATAAGGACTATCTAGACAATATAACAAATTAATTTATTTATTTTGCACACAAAATATATTATTAAATTTGGTTTCTTTTTATAGTTTACCCAAATTCGAATAATTATGAGAGCCACTGTATGTATGTATGTGATAAAAGAAATCATAGAAATGTAGATCGAAACAGAAAAATGTTAATTGCCTATAAGAAAATTATGTTAATTAAATGTCTGGTTATGAATTTTTGAAATTTTTTTGAACAATTCTCTTTTCAAATATCAAAATATTTATTATCAAAGTTTCCTTTTTGGAATATGTTTGACCACAATTTAAAAACGAGTTGCTAACTGGATACATTCATAATATGAATATTATTCTCTTCTGTTTTTTCGCATTTTCAAATACTAAAAGACAAAACAATCAAACTGCAAAAAAAAAGTTTATACCAACATATGAACAACCAACAGGGAACAGCTGCACAGCAAGGTAGGTATTTATTGGAAACTCCAAAATCGAAATTAAACCAGCAGCACTATAAAATAACAAAAAAGGGGTTTTCTTCGTTTAAGAAGAAAAAATAACAACTTTGCACAAGCCAAACGAGCAAAGTAAAAAATGCAAAAAAGAAAAAATAACGAAAAAATTAATAACATAAGGTAAACACAAAATACACCACCAGCAGACCAGTCATACAAAAACAAAAAAATGTAACACACAAAACAAAATAAAAATATAAATCAAAAGCAAAAACAAACTCAATGCAATGCGCAATGAAAGCCGACAGCAACAAACACACTCTCATACATATCCATAATTATATCCAAAGAGAAAGAGCAACAGCGTCAGAGAAAACACTGCAAACCAATAATAATAACAAATATATTATACAAAACAATCATACCAGACTTTGCTGCAACTTTTTAACCAAAAAATTTTGTTTGAATCGAACTTTAAATATCAATTGGTTAATAATGATTACTGCATAAGTTGTCATAACATAAAAGAATAGAACTCTGTATTAGGGTTCTATAGTTGAAACGAAAAGTCGACTTTTCGACTTTTTGCATTTAGTTAAAAGTCGACTTTTCGACCTTTCGACTTTTTCCATTTTATGAAAAGTCGATTTTTCGACTTTTCGACCTTTTTCATTTATTTAAAAGTCGACTTTTAGACTTTTCGACTTTTAGTATTTTATAAATGGTCGACTTTTCGACTTTTTTCGACTTTTCGACTTTTTTTGACTTTTCGACTTTTCGACTTTTTTCGACTTTTTCCGACTTTTTGATTTTTTACGACTTTTTGACTATTTTCGATTTATTTCGACTTTTTTTCGACTATTTTCGACTATTTTTTTACTTTTTTCGAGTTTTTCCGACTATTTTAGAGTTTTTGACCTCTTTTCCACTTTTTTAAAACTTTCGACTCTTTTCGACTTTTATCGACTTTTCGACTTTTTCCGACTTTTCGACTTATCGACTTT